CCCCCCCACTGGCTTGCCTATTCTTCCAAATCAGTCCCCATATAAAGACCTTCGTGCCCTGGCTGGTGTAGCTCAGTGGTTAAGCAGCATCCCATGCAGCCAGAGGTCACTGGTTCAATTCCCAGTCAGGGCACGTGCTGGGGTCACAGGCTCAATCCCCAGTAGGTGGGCATGCAGGAGGCAGCTTATGGATGTTTCTCACAAACAGGAATGTTTCTCTCTCTCTCCCTTCCCTCTCTAAAATTAAAAAACGAACAAACAAAAGAACCCATTATTTAAAATGAAAAAAAAGATCTCCCTTGTAGCTCAGTTGGTTAGAGCATTGGCCCAATACACCAAGGTTGTGGGTTTCATCCCCAGTCAGGGCACATACAGGAATCACCCAGTGATGCATAAGTAAGTGGAACAACAAATGTTTGTCTCTCTCCCTTCTCTCTCTAAAATTAATAAGTAAAATTTAAGAAAAAAAGACCGCCTGGCCAGCTCAGCATTTGGGCATCAATCTAGGATACAGGAGATGACAGGTCAATTCCCAGTCAGGGCACATTGCCTGTGTTGCGGGCTCAATCCCCAGTCGGGGGCGTGCAGGAGGCAGCCAGTCAATGACTCTCATCATTGATGTTTCTGTCTCTCCCTCCCTTCCTCTCTGTGAATCAATAAAGACATACTTAAAAAAGAAACAAAAAAAAAAACAACCTGTTACCTGTGCTGTTTCCTCTGCCCAAACGCCCCTCCAGATCATCCATCCAAATACTATTGCCTCCTCTTCCCCCTGGTCACCAGGTTCAGAACAGCCTGCCCTTCTCTATACACGATTGCTCTCTTTTTTTTTTCTTACTGAAAAAAAATACGTATTTATTTATGCATTCAATGGTTGATTCTTTCTTGTATGTGCCCTGACCAAAGATCAAACCCCCAACCTTGGTATATCGGAACAATGTTCTAACCAACTGAGCTACTTGCCCAGGGCCATGACTGCTCTCCTGAGATGCTTCCCCCTGACAGTGTCCGGAGCAGGGTGGGTGTTTCCAGCATAGCATTCACTGTCCTGTGTGTTCATTGCTATTTCTCATCTCTCTTCATAAGGTGTCAGGGGTCCCCTTTGAGTTGGTGCTGGTTCTGCTTCCCAGGTCTCTGCTCCTAGGTCTCTGCTGTGGCCACCTCAGCTTACAGGATGTTTCACGGGATCCCAGCCACTCCAGGCATGGGAGGTGAGTGTGTTCCAAGCTGGGTCCAGGGACTGGAAGGGCCCAGGCTTTCAGCCACTGCAGCAGAGACTGACCTGTGCAGTGGCTGGGGGTTGTGAGGGGATCTATAAGTGTCTCCCCCATACAGCCTCAGGGACTAGTGCATTTTATCACTGGGGCCCAGAGACATCCTCCAGGCAGGGCCAGCTGGGCACAGAGGTGACAACCTTAGTATGACTGGAACCTCAGGAGGTTCTGGGCATCCCAGAATCACCCAGCCAGAGGAAAAGTCACAGCACATGTGACAAACGTTTGTGCCCCATCACTGTACTGTAAGCAAGGTGTGGTCTCCCTGCCATAGAGTGAGGTGACCAAAGAGTAGTGGTGGAGTGGGGAGCCAGGCCTGGCACATGCCTCCCTAGCCCCAGAGGCATGTTTTCTGCCCAAGTCCCCTCACAAACTGATACAATTCCCATCCTCCAGTTCCCTCTGGACTCTTTGGGACATAGCCCGGGGGTGGTCTCAGGAGGGGACAGGGTCAGAGGACAGGCCTGCCAGCTCTCTGCCTACTCTGTTGCAGCCCCTGGAAACAAGCCAGAACTATATGAGGTGAGTGGCAGGCTCTTGCCTGGTTGGCACTGAATAACAGCACATGCCCACGTGAGCAGCTGCCCTGGTGCCGACACACTGCCCCTCTCTCCAACAGGAAGTGAAGCTGTACAAGAATGCTAGGGAGCGGGAGAAGTGAGTCCAGCACCCAGATTGCTGCCCCAACACATACTCCCAGGCCAACCCCCCTCCCCCAAGCAGCCTCCCACACTGAGGGTCCAGAGGATATGGGGTCAGGCTGGGCCAAATTCAGAGCTCCGCCACAGCTGCACCCCAGTGGGGCTGGTGCTTTGGGGCTCTAGGGGCCTCGGTGGCCATGGCCTGATGGACACACTCTCTTCAGGTATGACAACATGGCGGAGCTGTTTGCAGTTGTGAAGACCATGCAGGCACTGGAGAAGGCGTACATCAAGGACTGCGTCACCCCCAACGAGTGAGGGCCCACCATCCTTGCCCATGGATTGGTGCCTGGCCCTGGAAGCTTGTTTCTGCCCTCCAGGGCAAGGGTGCCCAGTAGGAGTGAGAGAGGAGAGGGGGTCTGCATGTAGTCATCTGCCTCCCCAGTCGGGCTGGGAGGGTGCCCCTGGGTGCTGGCAGCCTGGGCACCTTCTCAGCCGGAGAAGTCCTGGTGTTTCTGCAGTGTCCCTGTGGAGAGGTGTGCCTACCACCTTGGTCCTGGGGTTTCATCCCAGCCTGCTCCCCTGGGTGCAGAGGTACTCATTGATGAGGGTTTTGGAAGGCAAGCAGGAGAATTGGGAGGGAGGTCTGCGAGGCACTGCCAGCCAGGCCTGACGCCCAAAAGGCTCATGGAGCCTTTATTCAGTGTGTAAGGGCCATCCAGAGGACCACGGGCAGTGGGTGTGGAGGCATGACCAGCATGGACCAGGAGAGCAGGCATGAGGGGACTGCTGGCCCTCTGCCCAGTGCTGGGCTTAGAGCCAACCTTCAGGGTCCAGGCCTGGTCCCCTGGGGCAGCCATAATTTAATTACCCCCCACACTCTCGTCCAGAACTCTTTTCTTGTGTAGACCCAATGGAAGACCTTTATTTCAGTGGCCCACCTTCAACCCGTCCCTCAGCCCTCCCTGAGAGCTGCCCTGTGCTGAGACCTCCGGCCCTCCCCTTAGGTACACAGCAGCCTGCTCTCGTCTCCTGGTTCAGTACAAAGCTGCCTTCCGGCAGGTCCAGGGCTCAGAGATCAGCTCCATCGACGAGTTCTGCCGCAAGTTCCGCGTGAGTCTGCGGAGGGGTGGATGGTGGGCAGCAGGGGTGCTGTTGGGAAGCCGCCTTGCCAACACCCACGCCCCCCCCAGTTGGACTGCCCCCTGGCTATGGAGAGAGTGAGGGAGGACCGCCCCATCACCATCAAGGATGACAAGGGAAATCTCAACCGCTGCATTGCCGACGTCGTCTCAGTGAGTCTCCAGGAGCCCCACCTGCCAGGTGGAGG